AGACGACGCAATGCCACGAAAAAAGTCAACGAAACTTGCGCAGGAGCTGGCAGGAAAGTCAAGAGCCCTCGCAGTTGACACATGTCAAGCGTGCAGTGCGACTCGAAAAAACGTCGGGGCGGCCGACAACACGCAATTACGAACACGGATGTAAAGAAAATCGACACACTCACCGCTGTGCCCGGTGTTGCTCGACGACTGGCCCATTATTCTCAACCCGAGGCGTTGGCAGGCACGGGATAAAACACTCGGTGGTCGCGGCGGGCTCACGTGAAAAACCGGACGCATGAGTGCGCGAAAGACCGACACATTTTTCCAAAAATACTATCACATCGTGTACCCGCAGTGTCGCTACGACAGAGACGGACGGCCGCTCCGAGGCGAAGAGGTGATTGGCCCGCGAGCCGATGCGCATGCGCGACCCGCGGAATTTTGAATACGCCTCGACGTGCTCCGCGTTCCCACGGATCCGATTATTTCCCAGACGTAGTCCAACGGCTTCTGCTCCGAGCCACCTCGTTTCTGACAAGGTAACGCGGTGAATATTAAACGATACTAGTTGTATAGATGCTGCTTTTTATGGGACGTACCCGTAAACGCTCGCGCCATGCATGCGTATTGTACAGTAGAACGAAATTATTAACGAAATTATTTTACCGACTGGTACGGTTCGGACGTGCGATTAACATTAAACCTGCCGACGTTCGTTTGCAATTATTTCTACCGCGATGGAACGAGTAACTAGTGAAATCCGTGAACGTTATTATTTAACACGGCACACGTTATCGTCGTTCGACCTGGATCGAGGATAATGTTAAATACCTAAATATCAAAAATAATATATAAAAAAACGCGGGAAGAAAGTGTTATCTAAAAATTTCGTGCAGTGATTGTATTTAGTTTTTCTTTTTATTCACGGAACGTTTAATGAAGATATTGAACTATGCTTGATAATTGATAATACTTGAACTATGCATTGATCAAATCTTAAGTTAAATTGAGCGTAGCAAGGGGCACGGTCCCGAGGGACGATTAATAATAATGCAACGATCACTGAGGATATACATGGTGACCATAGAATTCGCATGTACCTTAGCAGGAAAATTACGCAAGAATTGAACCATAAAACGATAACAATTGAATAACGCCTAACTTTTGTTGTTGCATTAAAATATTGGATTGTCCGGGAAGTTCATGCCTATTTTTAAGAAAAATTCAAAGGCATATTTGAATTTTCATGTATATTTTTGATGTATATTGAATTATATATGTACCATTTGGTTCCACAACTTTTCCACCTGTTAAGGAATGTACATATATTATTTGTTTTCAGCCATTCCGATATATTCAGACCTGTACCGCCTACTAAAAGTCGGCATGGACTTTCCAGACAGCCCAATAGATAGTTTCTCGATGGACGATTTTTGATATTTCTTTCTAACCAGACTAGCCTACTTCAAAGAGACTCAAGGACACGTACTCTATCAAAAATACGAATTCCCTTACGTATATTAACAAAATTTGTCTTACTTGGCTAAGGAACTCGACCATCGCTCAACTTACGCACCGAAAAGAATAACCAGCAGTCTACCTCCTCGCTCGATCAACGACAGCACGCAAAAGTACCCGCCGACACCAGCCCCGTTCCCCAAGCACGAGACCATCGCCTCGAAATTAGAAGACACTGCTTGATAGAAACAGCCAAGCGTTTGCTAAACACGCCTCACGCAACTACGCACCTAACGATTCGCAACTGCGCCCACAATTCGCGTGCACAGGGCTAGCATTTTATAGCTCTTGGGGAGAATTAGAGCGCTCTAATGGAGTCACGCGATACCAGCCTGTTCTAGTTCCAGGGTTTCACCCTGGCCAGAGTCCCTCCGAACCTACCAGAGGACTGAGTTAGGGTTCGCCGAGTGATCCAGTTGATCATCGATCTCCCCAGAATTCCAGAAAGGTAAAACGAGCGTAACGGCGACGAATCATCGCCTAGGCAACCAGTTGGCAAAACACTGGCGTCGAAGAGCCGTGGACGCGGGGGGCAGCGTCGACGAGCGTCGTCTCGAGGAACAGGCCAGTCTTCTGTATGGATTTGTCGCTGGTGACGGATGACACGGTTCGATCCACGTCCCCGAGGACGCCGATCGTTTCAGTCGGCATCGTTTTTTCCCGTCTGACATGAACACGCTGGAGGAACTCGACTCGGAGCCCCGGGCGTACGACAGCTGACGGCAGCCAGACGATCGTTTGCATCCTGGGAAAAGCGAGCGCGGATAAGGGGAAAGATGGATGTCAGGTGCGCCTGGATCGTCTCTTTCGGGCTCGTCGTACTTCTCGTCGTATCGCAAGGTCAGTTCCAGGGCATTCACCGATTTCTTACAGGTGGATCTCCTGTTTCTTGATGATGGCTTGTTTCTCAACTCCTAGCGAATATTATTTATAATTCATTTCCATTGTATATGTCCTTGGCTTGTAAGATCAATTCCAGGGGATCCGCCAATTTCTTACAGGTGGATCTCCTGTTTCTCGACGATGGCTTGTTTCTCAACTCTTACAAGCACTCCTAACTCCTACGTCACCCCATTGTCGTCACGATAAATTTGAAAATCTAGTAGCGTCCAATCTACTGAAATAATCCAATTCGATACAAATATTTTGAGACTCGAATCTACTATCTTCCGAGCTTTTTTTTTTAGCCAAGCATTCTACTTGATAAATCTGTCCGAGATTTGCTAACAGACCCCAGACAGCCATTGATATATTACGAATATGTATAATGGCAGACAGAAGGTAGCGGTAACACCCTTCCTTCTTTTTTGTTCTGGCGGTGTCAGGCTGGGCCATTGACTGCTTCAAGTGCGTGTCGATCGACGGCGACAATAAGCCCTGCGACGACCCGTTTCACAATAACGGAAGCCTCGCTTTCTTGGAGTCGCCGTGCATGGGAGGACGCAAAGGCCGCGATGGTCTCTTCCCTGCGACCGCGTGCATCAAAATAGCGGGCATATACGGTAAAAACTTCCTCCTATTGTGATTTTCCAAGTGGCTACTTAACCCCTTTCGACGCTGCGTGTTCCCTGAATACACTATGGCTCGCTACGAGGGCGCACAATGCGCTCGCCGCCGAAGATCTTGGCGCTGAGAAGGGTTAGGCAAACCGCTTGAAATAATTAGGCACTGTTTTCGCGACGCTGGAGAGCGAGACCAACTATTGGCGCCGTTGTGGCCTTATCCAACGAACGGCGCCTTTGTCGTAATTAGAATTGGAATTAATTGCACGAAATTTCTGGTCTCGCTAGGAATCAAATTTTATCGGAATGTTTTTCAGCTTGAAATTGAAACTGAATTGAGATCGAATGTCCGCTCGAGACGACGCGATACTAGAAGCTGTTTTGTAATTTCCTTTTTTTTTTTCTTTTTTCTTTTTGAATTTTAAGCGTAATAGATTAGATCGGAAACATTGATTTGTAATTGTCGATTGATTAGACGAGTCTGGAATCTCTTTGACGGTGAGAAGCTGTGCTCTGGACAGCGGGACTTTGACGACCGACTCGGAAATAATAAGAATGTCGCATTGCGGAGGGTTCTACTTCGACGACAAGTGAGTTTCAGTGAGAAATCTATTCCGCTTCCTTTCTTCCTCTGTTATCGAACGTTGCAGGAATTACGCCAACCTGAAATCGAATACCTCTAGCGATCTTAATTTTTGTGAAGACGCTCTCCTAATTAAGGAAATCTACAGAATTCAGTAATGGATTAAAAAAATATTGTCCTTTCGCTGTATTATTTTTAACCGAACTAAATTCTCTCGAATTGCAATTCTAACGAATCCGTGACTTATAGATACGTTCGAGGTTGCGTTCAATCATGCAACGATGCAGACGCCTGCAACGGATCCACGCGACAGGCAGCTTCGTTCGTGGTTTTGGTTTTGTCGCTTTTCGCAGAGTTAGTTTGATGGAGACGCTCTACATATCATGTATCAATTGAAATCATAGACAATTATTGTATATAAAAAGAGAAAACGAAGAAGACAACACCTGTAATGGACCATTTCGAACTTGAAACTCTAAGATGACCAATTAGCTGTGGACCAAAAACGAAAGAAATATAATATCATTAATGAGATAACGATATTAATATCAACTATCAAATAATATCCATATCAACGTAGAATAATTAATAGAATGTAAGGTTGAAATATACAGTTTATCTGGTCTCAATGTGTTCGTGCAATAATTTTTCAAAATATTCAAAATAAACATCCATAAAAAGAGTTTTATTTAAACAGAGAAATATAATATCGAATTTCAATTGTGTCGGAGAGTTCAGCTTCACAAATCCGATCGTCGTTTTTACTAGCTACAACATTCTTGGATCGCAAATCTGAAAACGAAATGCATGTATGCACTGAGACCAAAACATCCTGTATAATTATTTCTTAAGACACGCAACAAATATTTAGACCAACGAACAGGCTCACGATTTGATACTATTAGACAGATTGCAAATAGCAACGACAACAACTGCCATCTCAATTACGAATACCTATACGTTAAAAAAATAATCGTCGACATTTTATTATACCACACGCATCGTTTTCTTCGTATCAAGTATCATAGAGATATAATGAGTTACATATTACTGATCTTAGGCATCGTTTGACGACAGTGAGATATACGAAATTATCGCAGACTGTATACCGTATTAAATAAACGAAATTTTAAGGTAACTTCGCCTACGATTCAATGAATATACCATACCATAAGTTAGCGATTTCGATCTAAAAGTTGGCAAATTTTATTTTTAATTCAGTTAAAAGATTATTTTATAATAAATAAGACCATAGTCCGTATCGCTCGTTATCCGTGCGCAGAGTAACGAGAACCGCGAAGAATCGATTTATATAAAAATAAACATTCCATTAAAAAGAAAAGTGCAAGTGCATGCTGCACTTAAGAGATAAGTTGGTTCGCGGGAATGTCCTCATTAAGCTACACAACAGTTTCCCCTGCAAACTTCCATCTTCGTTTAATACTGTGCAAAAGCACGTTCCAGTTTCTAGAAGCATCCTCGAAGGAAATGTAATGGCGTCAACGTCCCTTATTAAGCCACCATATCTAATTTCATGACTTACATTGCCATCTGAATTTCCTACATTGCCAACTAAGCGTCCTGCACTATCGACAAGGTATTCCATCGCGAGTAGATAATCCTGCCTTATCAACCAAGCGTTCTACACTATCGACCTCTACCGATAATGTACTCCATCGCGAGTAGACAATAGAGTACAACGACAACTTCGCGTTCTTGTTTTCTTCGCACGAAAAAATTCACACACGCATTTAAACGATGCAATTTCAAGAGGATAGAGACCAATTCCAACAAGCGCCATAATTTATGGAAAAACACAAGAGCAAAGATCCTAAAGTTCATCAAAAATTACGTTTGAAAGCATGAAATTCGTTGACTGCTACGATGTAAAAGCGAATAGAGCGGAAGCTGGAGAAGAAAGTATGAAAAACAGACGGAGGCTAGACCAGGGTCGTCAATCATGAAAAATCGCGTGTCGAACGCCTCACAGCAGTTCGTTGAGCTCTTCTCGCGAGTGGTCTGCTGGCTATGGGAAACTCTCGACAAGTTATTGGACATCTTTCTCGATTTCCTGGCGAGGCTAATCGAGCTGACACTAGCGGTGATGAACCTGATTTTCCAGGTGATCTGCTTCCTACGAGATATCTGCATCGACTCGATGCAAACCTTCGCTAACATCTTCCGTGGTATCGTTAACGTCATTGCTAACATCACCTGCGACGAAGTCGAGGATTTCGCCTCTGCTTGCATCGTCGTCCTCCTCTGGATTGGGGCCTTCAGGATCGCCAGGAATCTGTTCAACCGAGTAGGAATCTCCTGTGACTGTATCTACGCGGTGTCCTAGGATTTTCTGCGCGAACTATGCTGGCAGCGATCAGCAATTCCGGGACTACGGTGCTAAAATATGTGGTGGGGCACTCTGAGAGTGAACTTAACCCTTCCCTAAATCTTTGTTGCATCGTTATAGGCCATTGGAAGAAACTGTAACATTTTGTATTTAACATTTTTTCGGTATCTCTTATGTTTACCGAGATACAATCAGACCTGTCTAAGTGTCGCGATAATGTCCTCTGTAGGTACCGCGTATACCTTCATCTTAATGATACCACTGTACTAATTATATTTAACACGAACATACCTCTATAAGATACGCTGACCACGAACTCCGATATTTTCACTACTACCGACAAGTCTGGCTTCTCCATCTATATTCGGCTTCCAGTCACTCACTTTAACAAAATAAATAATTGAACACGTATCAACCAAGTATCCTTCCACATTCACACTCGCGTACGCGTGAAACGATAGCTTTTATAGAGAGGGATCGCCCGCTTCTTTTCCACCGCGATAATTTTAATAGTAACAGAGAAGTTATTTATTCGAACGATAATCTCAATATCATACCAATGTCTCCCAGAGTTCTAGAGTCAACGTGTTCCGTCTCTTCGGTCAGCAACACGCGGCGAATATAAACAATAACAATAAGCTAGCAGCTGCGCAACTCGGATGTGTTTGTCCCACGAGGAAAAGGACAGGGAGAAGGAATAACCGGCGAAATGGGAGACGACCTCAGGCCAAACTCGCGGATGAAGAATTGAGCGGCTAAAATGAAATAGAAGGCGACAATGTAAGAAAAATCAAAATGCAATCGTCAATTTTTCGCTAAATATAAAGCACGCGATACAGGATAGTTGAATGGCTGCCTGAAAACCTATAAAAAAAATCGGAATCTCAGATAATTTTTTAAATAATTAAAATTGTTCCGCAGATTCGGCAGAAGACATCTAGAAAACGAAAATCGAAGGAAGACAGCATATCTTATAAATATTATACCTTATACTTTATTCTATTACACATTCTTTTTATAAAAAAAATTGGTAAAATACTCTGACGAAAATAACGCCAAAATTTTACGTTCGCCTATTTACAGAAATATTCATTCGTTGTAACAATGTGTAAACTCGTATATCAAATACAATTACACCTTTCAACTTGCGTTCTATTATGTACAATTAAATATAAAATGTTAACAGGCATCAATCTGTAAAAGAGAGGCGTGGAAATCTTTGCTATCCAAAATAGAGAATATATTTTTTAGGTAAATCGAAATATGTTAAATATAATCGGCCTCCTCTTTTACACGTTGATATGCGAAGTCTTATAGTTCTGTCGTTTGCGCAACAATCGTGTTTCAGCATTCCAGTTATAAATAAGTTCTTTGAAACCCACTGTTTAATAAGATAATACTTTGTTCATGTTAATTTGTATCCTAACTCGCTTAAAGGTACTAAAATGTGTTTTAACATTTTCTCAGTCATTTACTACAGTAATAACCAGTTTATGTTCAGGCCAAGAAAATGTCTTTGGCAATTGAACCTGGAAAATGTTTCAGAATAGAATATTTTCATTGTAAAGTAATGTATCTTGCAAAATAATTTTCAATAGCATTTACCTGATTCGTCGAATTTAAAATTTGAAACTCTTGAGCCATTTTCTCAGACAAATCTTCTGGAAGTAGCACCTGTAGCCATGGTCCTTGAACCACGTATGGTTTTTCCCTAGAAACTAGAGTACCAGTAACCGATGGCGCAACTATGGTAACAGCTGTGTTGGACAATATGGACTTGAACGTAAAATGCCTTCCATGCATGACGCGGCCCCTGTAAAATCATTCGATATTAGTACTTTTAATACTCGACTAATAATCTATCCCAAACGGTAATTATGAGGATATATACTTTATTGCTAACGGTAACAAAGATCCAGCTTCAAGATTAAAAGTCAAGTGAAGGCCTGACAGGACTTTGATAAAATTTTCATGAGATAAATTTAAATCTAATTCACAAGGTGACAATCTTTCCGACTTTATAATTGGTTTTATATCTTCATCTTCTTCGTCCGATTCGTTTCTTTTTTCTCTGTACTTCTCTGTACTCCTATCACTGTTCACTTGAACCCACCTGCGCGATAACATATGACCATAACATTTAATTCGAGGATTAGTTTAATTATGTAGAAATGAATTGAAGGTACACAGACCAACACTTTGCAGACACGCCACTTAAATTAGAACCTTCCTTTTCTATCCCAGTCTGTATTTTCTCTGCTATGGAGGGGTCATCTTCCATAATGGAATGTACCCGTCTCATATTTGTCACCAGCCATGGTCCACAACCACGACTGGTCTTCAACAAACTCACGAGACCTAAGCCATTCCAATGCTGTGCAGCCTGCAATTCTTCGGAAGTGACTCCTACAATTTGAACAAACGAAACCTGTAACATTACGCATCAACCATCAGAAACATGATACTCAGACTACTACTTCCCATTAAATAAGCTAATCAACTTACATCTCCGTGAGGTGTACATATAGATGTTGGCAATTGTGGATCCTTCCCCATTAAAATTTGCGTGATACGACCATTTCCATTGTCCAATGGAGCATGCCACGAAACATGGTCACCAGGCAACAGCATGTTCCCAGAATTAAAAACATATTTTGCCAACTGCTGCATCACGTTTGCTGGCCAAGTTGGTGGACTCATCTCGTTTCTTTCTCTGACTAATCTAAAGGTCAATTCGAATCCAAAACCACTAGGGCGACCTGGACCACTCTTTGGATGTATCCTTCCATCGCCGTGTAGATCAGACAAGCCCAAACTTAACAAAGAAATGTTATTACAATACCATGTAATACTACATTCTAAGAAGATGAGGATAGCTAAAGCAGAGGTGTGTACAACTTGTAGATAATAAGTATCAAGGAATTGAAAGGACAAATATAACTCTAGACTCAATTCGAGAAAAATAGAACAAGTTTGGTGAATGGTGGAACATATTTAGATAAGACAGACGGAAAAGGGGAAGTCCCCGCGCATCTATTTCCGACGGCGTCGCATTTTAAACGACTTTATCTTCCTGTACCCTACACTTTCTATATATAGAGAAAGAGGGAACTACTGGACCAGCTGCTGCGGACTGAAGAAGGAAGGGTCACGCTTCCAAAAAAAAAAAGATAGAACACCCTTTTGCGGTAGACTATTCGTCATTCGGCGCCTAAGTTTTAATAAGGAATTCCTCAAACGGGATTCATTTATCTTTCGACATCGTGAGTCATGGCGACAGGCTTCGATGCGCTAGTATAGTTGCAAAACTTTCTATTCCAAAAATAATGTCAATTATCAAAATAAATTCTCTTCATCGAATAGTACTACATATTATTTTTGAATATTATAATCTCTAAGTTCACAACGACCTAAGTTGAAAGAGAAAAACGAAAAAAGAAAAAGGTGAGAAAAGGAAGTAGCTTCTAAGGGAAAAAACAAAATGGACGAAAAGATGGTGTACGACGTCGAGTCAAGAATTTTTAATAACGATTCTAATAATTGGCGCGATGATTTTATTATTCGTATAAAATTGTAGATCTCTCCGAGTTGAAGTGTCTCTTTCATGTTTGATCGCAGTCGCACGATAAACGAAATTTCCTAATGACAGAAATGGGTCCCAGCATACACGTGTCATGGAGGGTGTGTTGGAAAATAACATGCGCCCACATCAGAGCCACACTCCTACTTCTCGACAGGGTGAGCACTGACGAATACCCGACTTCCCGTTTTTTTTCCCTCAACTCTCAGATTCTTCCCTGTTTTTCTATCCCATAAAAAAAAGAGAAACAAGAAAGGACGCGTCCTTTCCCGAATAAATGACACGCGGCGGAGTATCATTTGCGCACGGGACAAAAGAAATTGGTTACGAAATGTTGTCGACAATTTTTATTAAACTTGCGAGACGATAGACGTCGATTCTTTAAATTGTAGGATACGTGTTCCCATAAATATGTATGTTCATCGTATTAAAATTTAAATTCGAAGAAATGGGGTTAAAACAAAATGATCGTGGTGAATAGTAACAAAATGAGCGAGAGAAAAAGGTTGAATTAGGAAGGATAAAATGATAGAACTCACCTGATGTAGTGCCAATGTGGTGGTATGCCTAATTCGGGGCAGCCAGGGTTCTCGTACATACTTATGTAGTCGAGAGGATCAGGACCCCCCAACCTAGGCAAAAGGTGTACAGAAAATTCCAGTTATTCGGTTTTATATCCGGTTAAGCGCGACTAAGGGTGACTAAATATAAGCCTTCCCTTCCTGTGCAGGTCTGAGTTTGGTTGCGTACTAAAAGTCGGTACTTAATCACCTTTCTCGGTATCGCAGAGATTCTTTAAAGTAGACAGTAATGCTTATAGCAATTCCTTCAAACACAAATGTCCGACTCACGACGAAATATGTAATACATTCGCGAAAAAAAATTAAATTCAAAAGGAATAGATATAAAAAAAAAATGGTTGATTTCACTTTCTCAAAACCCTGTGTAACGTAAACAATTTGAATAGAAACGTGTGTAAACGATATATGTATATTTCTTCAGCGTATAAAACTGATTAGATGGTTCTTCTTTAATTTTAAGAGGCACACTGTGCCCTTAATTCATCGCCAAGTAAAAGAAAAAATGAATTAGTATGTGTAGCAGCATCGCGGTACTTTTAACGATAATAGAATACGATTCATTGTTCACCGTCGATGGTCTGGCAACGTGTTAGAAATGTCAAGTGTGCAATTCCGTTCGAGTTTTATGTATTTCCACGATGGAAGATCAGTTTTCGTGGTTAAATGAGAGAGAAAGAATTCTTACCAGTACTTGACGACAGCGGTGACGGTGAGGGGATTGCTCTGGTCGGGATATATCTCTTTACAAAGGCTGTGCAGAGCGTCGAGACCCAGGGCCCGAGCCGTCGGTGGCTGGGACGGTTGTCCTGGTGGATAACTTCGGCAGAATTCTTCTCTTTCACGCATATTTCCGTACATATGCACAGATTACCACTCACGAAACGCACTGCTCCCAAAGATACTACGCGTACGCGACCCACGATCGTTTTGTTTACGGTCGTACGACCACTATTCGTCCACCTTCCGTCGAGCACGAGAAGAAACACGTCTCAGATCCACGAGAAAACTAAAATTACTCGACGAATGCACGATCGAACGATTCTGAAATCACTGCACGTCTCTGAAAGTTGCATTTCAGAGAACGGGGGAGAACGCTTCGCGATTGGAAGGTTTCATTCGACACGAGCTTCTATTGGCCTGTTCCATCGACGATGGTCGACGACTACGGAGAGGGAAAATCAGTGAAAATCGCAGAGTCCAATCGACTTCTTCGCTAAAGTGCTAGATGGCATCACTAAACAGAGTGATGCACTGAACTATACTAATACTAGAAAATACACCGTTTGTTGGACATTTAATGTACAATTCATAATTTTCTAACCACATGCGTTTACTAGTATATTATAGTGTTATAAAATAAAGAATAATTTAATAGAAGATATCGGTGGCGCCATTTTAAAGAAACTGTGATAACTATTTTTGCTATAAACTTGGGCATTTTCCTACCAATGGCGCCACTGGTTCTAAAACCCATACATATATATAGTTCAATGCAGTAACGTACATTGAATTATAATTTATAACTACAAAGTAGTGTTTGGGTACTTTTACAGAGACGAAACTCCAATATTTTTCAAATCCCAACTCTATCAGTTTTTATTGTGGTTTGGAATTTATTTATGTGTTATAACAAACTATCTAAAAAAAAAATCTAATTCTACATAACAGTCTCGCCTTGCCACCATCACGTGTGATCACGTGGTTTTATTTAGATCTACATATATATATATATACTTTATTGTCTTATGAAACGTACCTACTATAGAACAATTTCATGAAGAATAATCAAATCTTCGAGCATTATTGCAAAGCATTGCACCGACCGTGTTTTATATTATGATCACGCATTTATAAAGTCGACATACACCTAACCGATACGTCGTGCCATACTGTCATACAGTAAGTATAAGTCACTGTGAATATTGCTGTGCTATTTGCGAACGAAGAACGTAGTATTCGGCGACTATAAAAGATGCGACAGTATTAATTTAATGAAAAGTCGTTTAAACGTGAAGTCGAAACAAGAATCTCAATATAATTTTTTCAAACTCAAAATAGTAACTTTTTTATCGACCTCCTGAAACTTTGAAATGGAAGTTCCAAACAATATGGAGAAGAATTCAGATATGATGAATGAATTGGATTGGATTCGGATACGTGCGGAGCTTAGCGATCATATAAAAGTGGAAACGTTCACAGAAAAAATGGTGCGGAAAACGAAAGAAAATCCCGTGGTACCTTTAGGTGAATATAACCTATACTAATGTTGC